TTTTTTTTTTTTTTTCAGACGATAGATTGTTAACGAAAAACACATAATTACAATCAGTTGAGAACCGAAACAGGAGCTGCTCACATGGGTGAATTTACATACTAATTTAGGGGGGCAATTGCCCCCCCCTCAAATTTTAATTTTTTATACTCTTAATATTAAAAATTTTAATTGCCCCCTTAAAGTTATTTTTGCTTTCCTAAATTTTTGTTTTTAAACCTCACTCATCAGACAAATTTGTCCACAATTGTCAAATAACAATTCAACACTTCTTTTATTTTACTATTAATTTTGTATACTAATTATTATCATTCTACAATTTTAAGCGGGCCATATAAAAAAGACTTCAACTCTCTTTTATTACCTTGAAAATCGAGGACCGAACCTAATCGATGAGAAAATAAACCGAACTGAACCGGCTTATGTGTAACGGTAACTGAGAATCGCTTATCGAAATGTTATCTGTTCGGTATTAGTTCTGAACCCAATGTCTTTTGCCCCATCTCAACTAATTTCTGGTTTCGCCCCTGGCTGCTCATGGAGGCCAGCCTAGATGCCACAACACACACTACAACACAAAAAGAAAAAATAAAAGCTCCCCACAGGAGAATAATACGCTTCTCCAAAGGAGAAGAAAACAAAACACAAAACATAAACAAAATAAAACAAAACAAACACACCAAACACAAACACAACATAAACACAAAACAACACAAAGAATATTTTATTTTGGAAAAATGAAATTATATTTGAATAATTTATTGGAAAATATTTTAAAATTAACTAATTACAAATAGTTAAACTTTTTAATAGTTATTCATATATCAATATATTATTCTTTAGACCAATAGGTCCCGAGTTCGAGCACTGTTTTAAATAGCTCGCTATGTGATATAGGATATCATACCTACCATGCTAAACTGGTCTATCGAGCGGGTCGAAGAGGACGTAACCGAGTCAAGTGACAGGAAGATCGAGCAGTAAAATAGTCGACCAGTCTATGGCTCGACCAGATAAGCGATCGAACAATCAAGCAAAGTAGTCGACCTCAGCAGGTCGACCACTTCGAGGACTTAACGCTACCATGATCGGCCCAGTCACAGGCGCGTGGGAGAACCTCTAGCCGAATTTCAAGAGAATATTTACTCCATGTGCAGAGGGACACGTGTCGAGAATGCAGTGGTTGATAGCATTAACCACCTCTGACAGCCTACCCCATGTGCAGGAGGACACGCGTCCAAAGAGTATTGGTGCAGGCGATAATGGCGACGGCTACCTCTAACACACGCGTAGTGTGTGTACGGATGGGCAGTTAGGGCAGACAACTCACCAAATCCGGGCAGCCCTAGGTCATGTATCCCCTATATAAAGGGGGTGAGACTTTCTTCTTCAAAACGATCATTCTATTACTTACTCTTGAGAATTGATTGGATATACACTGACTTAAGCTTCGGAGGCTCTTCACCGGAAAACCCCTCCAGTGTGAGAGTTCATTGTAGGTGCACGACGTTCAACCGGCAAGAAGGAAGGCGATTATTCAAGTTCCGGCCGGTCGGGAAGTTTTATGATACCATTTGGCGTCGTCTGTGGGACTTTCGTTTGGGAAGTTGTGTTTGAAGCTCAGCTATGGCGGACGGAATCCCCAAAAACTTGCAATCGACGTTCGACAACGATCAGGCCGTTTAGACAAGGCCCTCCTCTGGGTTTTTCTGGCCCATCGCAGACGCCGATCACTCCTACACCTGTCCTTCAAGGTGTGGGAGCGACGACAGCGAGTCCCGGAGGAGATGCCGGCTCTAATCGTGCCCAGGAGACTCGCGTAGCGGCTGCGGCGGCGATGCCACCACCGCCGTCCCAAAACCCAGCGGTGGCGCGACCAGGAGGAACGGTAGCGCAACCAGGAGGAACGGCGGGCCAAGGAGGAACACCAACGCAGGCAGCGGTGCAAGTCCCCGGCCAACAGGTGGTGATGACCAGACAAGAGATGCAACAAATGGTGGCGGAGGCAGCTGCGCAGGCGGTGCAACAAGTCACAAACAGTCTCTCTCGGGCTACCACAATGCCGACCACTGTTGTGGGGTCACGCCAAAATGCAGAGGAGGATGAATCTAGCTATGGTGGAGGCGGGCCCCCACATGATCGAGAAATGGAGAGAATGGCGGAACAGCTGCGTCAATTGCAGGCCAAGGTGGATGGTCGAACAGAGAGACGCGCTCGAGGACACCCGTTCTCAACGGACATACTAGCAGCACCCTTGCCAACCAACTTCAAGGATACCAACTTGGTGTTCGATGGGACTTCTGACCCGTCGAGCCATGTGAGGACGTTCGAAAATGTGGCTGTGTTACATGGATACACTGACCCCGTTAGTTGCAGGGCATTTTTATCGACCCTCAAGGGAGGAGCCCTCGATTGGTTCCAGCAGCTCCCCCTAGGCTCGATTGCAGACTTCGGGGATTTCGCGGAGAAGTTGACGAATCAATATTCGAGTGCGATGGCTCAGGAGAAGACGTACTTAACCCTGATGGCGATGAGACAAGGCGAGAAGGAGTCACTGCGCAAATACATAGTCCGATAAAACCAGGCTTGCTTGGAGATCCCGTCGGCGATCGATGAGGTCAAGGCGGGAGTGTTGATTAGAATTTTACGAGCGGGGCCATGTCGGACCTCTCTGGCCAAGACCCTGGCTCATACTTATGATGAGGTGTTGAGAAGGTGTAGGACATATATTAACCTCGAGGAGACCGAGGCGGAGATTGCCAAACTCGAGGAGTTAGGTCGTGTGGAGCCGAGGAAGGAGAAAGCAGTTTCGCCCAAAAAGAGAGCTTTGCCCAGGAGAGAGGGGCGAACTAAGCAGGATCGGGGACGCGAGGACAGATGGAAGGACCAGCCTATCTCTAGAGGAAAGAGATTTCATAATTATACCCCATTGTATGCGAAGGTAGCCGAGGTCTTGGTGGCTATGGAGAAGGGGATAGACGGGAAAGATGTGACGTGGCCGAGGTCGAGGTTCGAAGGGCCAACTCAACCGAAATCGAGGAGATATTGCTGCTACCACAAGGATTATGGACATACTGAGGATTGTCGATATCTCAAAGATGAAATATAGCACCTTATCCAAGCAGGGCATCTTAAGGAGTTCGTTTATCAGGATAAGATGAGGGGGAAGGAGAGGAGGTGTCGGGAAGAGCCGGTGGAGAGAAGTGATGAAGATGATGAAGAGGATCCACGAGGTGGTCGAGATGGTCGAAAGAGAGATGAGGGGAAGAGGAGGCTAGAAAGTAGAGAACGAGAGAGACAAGGACAGGGAGGCCAGGTGAAGAGAGGCACAATATATATGATTTCAGGAGGACCGACATAGGGAGACTCGAATAATGCTAGGAAGGGTCATGTTCGAGCGATGAAGAGAAAAAGTGAGGAGGTGGGTATCATGGCCCGAGTACCAGAAATTAGTTTTCGGGCAGAAGATGCAGCAGGGGTGGTGATACCTCATAATGATGCCTTGGTGATTACGGCAGAAATTGCAGGTTTCGATGTAAAAAGGGTGTTTATAGACACAGGAAGCTCGGTCGATGTCATGTTTTATGATTGCTTCGCGCAAATCAATCGGGAGTTGAATGTGGAGTTGAAGCCGGTGGCTACGGCCTTGTATGGTTTTAATGGTGGAGAGGTTATGCCGATGGGGGAAGTGAGTCTATCTGTAGCCCTGGGAAAAGGAGCGACCCGGAAAGTTCGAATGGTAAGATTGGTGGTCGTAGGAGCTGAATCATCTTACAACATCATAATGGGGAGAATGAGCTTAAACGCGTTCCAGGCGGTCGTATCCACGTACCACATTACAATCAAGTATCTGGTGGGCGAAAACGTTGGTGAGATCGTTGGGGATCAACTTACCTCGAGGAGCTGCTACCAGACCACTGTGAGCAATAACAAATAGCTAGCAAGGAGGCAGACGCGGCTAATTGAAGAGGAGGTTGGTCGACCGAGAGGGTCGAGATCGAGGGAAGAAGGGCAAAGGTTGGAGAAGGGTAAGGAGAAGGTAGACATTCAGCCAGGAGGCGAAGTGGAGGAGATCCAGATGATCGAGGGGTGTGAAGAGAAAAAGTTTCAAATCGGGAAGGAATTGGGAGAACCAGTGAGATCGAGGCTGATTAGTATGATAAGGGAATTTGCAGATGTGTTCGCATATTCGACGGAGGAGTTGACCGGTATCAAGGCTGTAGTTATCGAGCACCGGTTGAATATCGACCTCACTGTAAGGCCGGTGAAGCAAAAGAAAAGGCATCACGGGGCAGAAATGGATAAAGTGATCGAGCTGGAAGTAGAA